AATTAACCATCTAATGATAAAAGTTTTCCAACTTTCATACTTGTGTATAATAACAAGATTACATCTTCCAATATGAAGATTAATCAAAATTTAACTCACAAGTATTTGAACTTCATGGATTTTAATCAACCAAAATGAAAAATCCAAACTTTATTCAATATGGAATTTAGGGTTAGAGTTCCAATCATTTAAACCTTTAAAGGTTAGAACTTTAACATACTTGGGAACTTAAATTACACATTCACATCAAACATTCACACATCAATGCAATTAATTTGCAAAATTGTGAAAAACAAGTTTATGTGAAAAGGCATATCAACTCAAGCACTAATTAAAACTCCATAATTATGCTTAAGGATATTTAAAATAGCAGTATATTAGGGATGCAATAATGCATTTAATCTAACCTTGTAATGCTTGCATTAATCAAGGCTTAAAAAGATTTAAAATTTTCGCTGAAAAACGAAAAAACCCCAAAAACATGGGTTTCTGGTTCGAATTTGGCTTCTGGACAGTCCTCATAGAGAGATGAATCTGTTTCAAAATGTTGATTCCACCCAAAAATCACTATTTTTGAGCCAAAATCTGGGTTCGACAGCCAGATCGATAAAAAATACGAGTTTTAAAATTAATTAAAACGAGCTTCTAATCTAATTAGAAAAGCAAAACAAGAAATTAAATCTTACTTTAAAACACCTTAATTAATTAATAATTGCAAAAATTAAAAAGAGCGTGGCTCCGATACCGTTGTTGGGTTTCGTAGTGACCCACACTACGCGGAAAGAAACCCGCCAAGACCCGCCCCCATCATAAATGCAATTAACAAGCAAAACATAATTAAACACAAGAAAGGATAAAAGATTATACCTTTGACGCGTGCTTCGCTCAACAATGAGCTCTTACTTGAACCCCGAAAACACGAGGTCTCCAACGGGATCGTACCCTCGAACCCGACCCGAGCATCCTAAGTCTCGAAGGTTAGTCGAGACCCGGACAAATAAAACTCTGAGTTTTACGAATCAAGGTTTACTCAAATCAAGAGTTGCCTTTTAATTCCACTCAAGGTTGTGTTTTCCCAAATACCCAAGCCTTTGGTATTTATAGGGAAATGCACCCTTGATTTATAATCTCCCACCAATGTGGGAGAGTTGGTAAAAATCAATAATTTATTTAATTCCAAATTAAATAAATAATTAAGATCAATCACAACGCGACAAGTGGCATAATTATATGCTTATGAGTGATGCCTAAGGTTAGGTGGGGGGGACCATAGCCTTGCTCCCCAAGGCATTGCTTGGTCCCCACACCCACACACAAACCGCCTCAAGGAGGGTTGTGCTGGCTGCCAGCTAGCACCAGCCAGCAGCCTTGCATCCCCAGCCAGGCAGTGCGTGCTGGAGCTGGGCGATGCTTGGCGCTGGTGCGTGCTAGTGCTAGGCTGTGCCAGCATGCTGGTGCTGGCCCAGCACTCCCATGCATTGCCTCGCACACACTCGTATCCCTCGCACAGGCTCTACGCATAGCCATGCCTGCCAGCCCCTCACGCACGCAAGGCCTAGCATGCGTGCTGCTAGCGAGCCACGCATGCTGGGCTTGGTGCTGGGCGATGGTGCACATGCACATGCACTGAGCGAGGCTAGTGCTGCTTGCTAGCTTGCTGTGCTTGGTGCTGCCAGGCGAAGGCACGCACGCAAGCACACAGCTATGCGAATGCTCGGTGCTGCATTGCTAGGCTGCTGGGCGATGGTGCACACGCACACGCACACACGCATGTGCCTAGCACTGTGATGGTGCTGTGCGTGGTGCTAGGGCTACGATGGCGCCTAGGCATCATGCTAGGGCTGCGATGGCGCCTAGGCATGATGCTACGCCTAGCACACCATGGTGCGCCTGGGCTTGGGATGAGCTAGCCTAGCCTAGCTACGGCTATGCTCGTACTTGTCGCTTGTGATTTTGCGACACTCGGTCTCGACGCCCTAGGCTCGATATCCAACGTCTGTATTCGTAAAACTCTGTCGACTCATTAAATCCTTTGGATTAATTCGTCATCTCGGATCGGTTGTTCGATTGGGTTCGACCCAAAGGGTTCAGTTAAGATTAAGCTGTAATATTAATTGTACCTTAATATTACTGATCGGAAGCGGCCTCCACCTAGGTATTTTGATCACTTGACCTTAGTGAAGAATTAATTTTGTAATAAATCTCAACCCTCTATCAGAATAATACACTTGTTGGAAGGACATCATTCCTTTCATCTTTTTCTTATTATTCATTTCCATTCCCCTCTTTATGTCTAGCCTAGGTTTTTTTCTTTTAATTCCCAGACTCTATTGTGTGAATGTGTTCTGTTTATTCACCTTTTCATCAATAAAATGAGCATTTTTCCTTTACATCTCGATAATGTCATTTTAATATATATATATATATATATATAAAATAAAAAATCAATTGTCGAACCAAACACAAGGTATACCAATGATTTGAGGCACCCTTTGCAACCCATTATTCCCTTTTTTACCATTCAAACACATATTCCATTCTTTCATTAACCACTTTGAGCCTCATCTAATGTTTGGCCTCATTTGTTCAACCCACATTCACCTAACCTTGGGATGGGAAGGTTTGTGATTTGTGTAACGTTCAATAGCAAGTTCAAAAAAGAATGGTGAAAATAAAACAATGTCTAAAGGGTAAGTGTTCCAATGTCTTTGATATGAACATGTCTCGAATTGCGTCTCTCATTGAGTACTTGGCACCGTGTCTGAGAAACATGAATTCTAAGTGAGTGATGGACCGCTTGATCCGAGATTTCTCACATTAATAAAAAAAAAATTCAAAGCAAAAAAAATAATAAATGCAAAAACATATAAAGCTTGCAAAAATTTCAAGTTCCAAAACACGATTTCACATCTTGGGGGGTTTCTCTCGAGTCTTAAGCCTTTTCACCCTTTTGTCTTCAAACCATTAGCTTAACCACATTACAACCCTTGAAAGACCTCTTTGAGGTGTATATAAACTTGTGCAAAGTTCGGCTAGAGCTACTTTCGGCCTGATTTCATACCGTTGTATTAGACTAGGCTAATCCATTGTATTACACTAGAACAAGGCTAATGCAACGGTACAAAAATAGCTAATACAACGGCTAATTTCATACCGTTGTATTAGACTAGGCTAATTCGTTGTATTACACTAGAACAAGGCTAATACAACGGTTTATACTAACCGTTGTATTAGATATAATATTCCTTTGTATTAGATGAACTAATCCAACGGATTATTCTTCTAACACAACGGATAGTGTTCCCGAATTTTTTATTTTTTTATTTTTCAGTTGGAGCTAATCCAACGGATCAGCCCCAAAAAATAAAAAAATAAAAAAAGAATAAGACCTAATTCAATGGATGAGTAAAAAAAAAACCTGGAAATGCTGAAATATTAGAGCCAAAAATGAAATTGAAACCCCATTTCCCAAACTTCTCATTCTTCCTTCGTTTTCCTCCCTCGCCACTGCTCCTTCCTTCGTTCTCCTCCCTCGCCGCCGCTGCTTCGTTCTCCTTCCTCGCCATTTCGTTCTGCTGTGCTCGAATCTCTATCTAGGGTAGGTATACCTTGAATTTTCGTATACCAATTATGGATTTGTTGATTTTGTTTTGTATTTATTTTTAGTTTGAACCTTGCATGTGGCTGATCGCTCGGATTTAGATTTGTTGATTTTTTCGAATGTTGCATGTGGCTGATTGCTTGCTTGAGGGTGGTTTTTCTATTTATGAACCCTAATTTTTTTTTGGGGTTTATTTGGGAATACTTGACATACCTGTTGAAGTTAGCTGCTCGAATCTTTGGTTCTTCTTTTCTTCTCCTGCTAAACGTCTTGTTCTTATTGTTGGTACTCTACTCTTTAATTTTTTTTTCATCTATTTTGTTGATTTTTGTTCCATTTGTCAGAAATTATAATCTGGGTTTGCATTGTTTTTAATTTTGAAGTGGATTTTCTCATCAAATTTGCTGTTTTTGACTAATTAGTAGCGTGAAATATGATCTGGGTATTGCTATGGCTATGAGCTGACATGGATGGGTTCATAGGCGTTGGGTGGGGTTGGCCAGTGTGGAGGCTGAATTCTCTAAGTTTTCTTCTCGAATTCCTCATCTTTTTCTTAATTTCATCTTTAATGTTTGATTTCTGCATTTTGTTGTGAAATTTTAGTTGATTTTTTTATAGAATTTTGTAGTGTTTTTGAATTTTTCTGTGTTAATTAATCTGAAGAATCATGCTATGAAGAATTAGTTGAATGTAATAATCAAGGATTGACTTAGCTTGCTCCTTTGGCACCTAATATTTTCATGCTGAGAATTATGGAGTCTTTGAGATGAAGTTTCTGAGCTGTCAAATTAATGTTTAGAACCTATTCTTGACCCTTGATTTAATGAAAGAAGCTTAAGGTCACTCTTTGGATCAGTCAAGTCGATGATTATTATTCTTATTTATTATGTTCCTTGTCTTCCTTTCTTAGTATATTTTTCACAATGATTTTTGTTTTATTTGAGCCCAAAATGCTATTGATACAGCCTTTTTCTGTCCAACAGGCTAATTCAAAATGTAATTCACCAAACATGTGAACTAACATATCGAATTGTGAAATAACTGAAAAGGCTCTTAGGCAAATAGAAGATATTGGAACATTGAGTGAGTAACATAGACTTGTAAATTTTTTCTTGTATATCGTTGTTGGCTCTATTTGCCAATCAGCAAAGAAAGTCATTTGTATGAAGCTGTAATTTACTGGCCTAATTTGGCAAACTAAAATATTATTGTTTTGGTTAATTAGTAAATAAACTTTAACTTTTAGTGTACTATTTATGATTAGTTTGTGTTGAATAGCTACTGGTGCAGAACCCATTTTGATAGTCTGAAATAGGTGCTTCATAAAAGAAGTGTTAAAGAAGCAGAACTTTTTAGCAATCAAGATTCCTCACAACTCTCTTGAATTGGCCTGGTAAGTGTTCACTCTTTCATTTCAACCTTTTCAAATTTGTAATCATGATCAAGATAATAGGCATTTCTTGGAAAAGGGGGTACATTGCTATAAAATTGATCAAAATATGATTTTTAACCATTTTTATTTCATTCTCACGTCTTTATCCAGGGATAATGGTTATGTTCTTTTGCTTCATGTTTTTGGAATTAGCTGAGAAGTATGGACTTTAAAAATTGAATTAATTGGTTTGAATATAAATCTATAGAATTCTATTGCTGTCATTAGTAGAAGATTAGAACATGGTTCTTTATATCTATCTTGGATAGTAAATAAGACATTGAACTCTTTTTATTGCTTTATTATGATAAAAAGGAGATAGATCTGAATCAAGCAGTAATCCTGTATTAAGAAACTGGTTTCATATGTAGTGCATATCCTTTGGTACCTATTTACTCTGTTAATTTCTATTTTTACCCTAAGGAATGGAAGGTGGAACTAAGAATTGGTGGATGTTTTCCAAATGGAGTGATGAATATGAACAAGGAGTCGACGAATATGTCAAAAGGGCTTTTTCTATTAAGTCTCAAGGAAATCAAATCTGTTGTCCCTGTCAAATTTGTCATTATCGTTTTTGGCTGTGTGAAGGTGTGGTAAGAGACCATCTAATTTGTAATGGTTTTGTTCCAAGATCGGATAAGTTATCAGACTTAGGGTTCAATATCCAAAGAGAAGAAACTATTTTGGATAATGATGAAGGGTCAATCCCAAATGACTCTAGCGATGACGTAGTGAGGTTGTTGCATGATGCACGTGATGCTTTTAGAGAGGGGCCAAATGATGAGGCAAAAAAGTTTTTGAGGTTAGTTGAAGAAGGGCAAGAAGAATTGTATCCTGGTTCCAAATATCACTTAAAAATTTCCTTCATGATTCGACTTTTTATTTTGAAGTGTGATCATAATCTCACCAATGCCGCATTTGGAGATATATTGGAGCTTATAAGGGAGGTGTTGCCTAATGCAAAGTTGCCAACTTCTTTCAATGAAGCGAAAAGTGTTTTGAAAGTGTTGGGGTTGGATTATACAAAGATTGATGCATGTCCAAACGATTGCATAATATATTGGGAAGAGCATGAAAATGCAACAAGCTGCCATGTTTGTAAAACACGAAGATGGAAATCAAAGGACAAAGAGGATGACATAGAAAATGGTAAAGGAAAGACCTATAGGATTCCTCAAAAGATTCTTAGGTACTTTCCGATAAAGAAAAATCTTCAACGACTATTTATGTGTCAAGAGACGGTGAGATACATGACTTGGCATGCGAATGATCATCTTTTACACCATCCAGCTGACGGTCAAGCTTGGAGGGAATTTGATTCCTTGTACAAAGAGTTTTCTGATGACCCGCGCAATGTGAGGCTAGGACTAGCCACAGATGGCTTCAACCCGTTCAACTCAATGAGTATTGTACATTGTACTTGGCCAGTTATGTTGATCAATTACAACTTGCCTCCTTGGATGATTATGAAGCCTGAGTATTTGATGTTAGCACTACTAATTCTGGGTCCTTCTTCCCCAGGCAATGACCTTGACATATATTTGCAACCACTAATGAAGGACTTGAAGGATTTGTGGGAGTTCGGACTGGAAACTTATGATGCTTCGAGTAACCAGAGGTTTCACATGCATGTAGCATTGATGACTATTGTGAGTGATTTTCCTGCTTACGGGATGTTATCTGGCTGGAGCACAAAAGGATACTTGGCGTGCCCTGAGTGTCATTATGAATTAGATTCTGAGTGGTTGCCTTATAGTGGTAAGAATGTGTATAGGGCAAATTGTAAATTTTTACCTCCATTTCACCCTTGGCGTCGTGATAAGAGGAATTTTGATGGGAAAGTTGAGGAAAGACATTAACCTACTCCATTGAATGAAATTGATGTAGCTAATCTGTTGCGTGATTTTCCAAATGAATTTGGAAATAAGAAAAAGAAACCAAGACATGTTGTTGATGATCTGAATCCGTGGAAAAAGAGGTGTCATTTTCTTCGAGTTACCATATTGGAAGCATTGTCTTAATCGTCACAACCTCGATGTAATGCATATTGAGAAAATGTGTTTGATAGTGTCATTGGGACATTGTTAGACATTTCTTAAAGGACCAAGGATCATGTGAGTGCTCGTCGAGATTTGGTAGAGCTTAATTTGATGCTGGAGCTTCAATTAAGAGAATTGGAAGATGGTGGCGAAGAATTTCCAAGATCCCGCTTTTGGATGTCATTGGAGCAAAAACGTAAGTTCTGCCAAGTCTTCAAAAATGCCAAACTTCCTTAAGGCTATGCTTCTAACATTGGTCGATGTGTACAAGTTGGGGAAAGGAAAATTGCAGGCTACAAAAGCCACGATGCATATTTTATGATGAATTATTTGCTCCCAATTGCAGTGAAGACAACATTATCCAAAGATGTTGTTACTCCTTTGATTAGGCTTTGTGCTTTTTTAAAAAGTATATGGAGTAAAACTGTTGATCCTCAACATCTTGGAAAATTGCAATCTGAGATAGTTGAAACATTATGCCTACTTGAGAGGGTTTTTCCACCTGCCTTTTTTGATATAATGGTACATCTACCTCTACACTTGGTGGGCCAAATTAAGTTGGGTGGACCTGTAAGTTCAAGGTGTATGTATGGGATTGAGAGGTATCTTCATGGACTGAAGCAAGATGTTCGAAATAAAGCTCGTCCAGAAGGCTCAATGGCAGAAGGATATCTAGCCAAAGAATGTGTTGCCTTTGTAGCTAGATTTTTGAAAGGATCAAACTCGGCCACACCTTAGGTTAATGCTTGTAGTACATCACAATCATTTCTTCCTAAGGTAGGACGTCCAATAAAAGGGAAAGGAAGGACATCAAAGAAAAAAGACCGTGAACACATACTTGATCACAATCAATGGGTACAAGCGCATTGTTATGTCTTGTTCAATTGTGACTGCGAGGAAGTTGAGAAATATATAAGGTTAGATTACCAACCAAAATGTAGTTTCTTTTCTTTTTCTCTTGGTTTTCAATGTGTTTTATTTGTAGTGTTAATAAAGTAATCTTTTTATATTTCATAGTGAGCATAAGGAATTTGTAAGCTCTAGAGGAAAAAGGAAATGGAAAAGCGTTCAAGATCACAGCAAGGATTTTGTGGATTGGTTTAGGGAGAAAGTTGATTTCATTGTTGAAGAGGGTCAAGACATCATCCCTAACAATATCATATGGTTATCAAAAGGGCCTTCTTACATTGCTAAAAAGTATACAGGGTACTCAGTCAATGGTTATAGGATCCATACCATGAAGCGCGATGCTAATTGTGTAACTCAAAATAGTGGAGTCACTCTAACGGCCATGACACATAGCTTTGCGAGTTCCAAAGATCAAAATCCTATTGAGGCTAATGTCAATTATTATGGTTCAATAACAGACACCATTTCAATATCTTACCATGACTACTTTTGTGTCGTCTTATTTAAGTGTGTGTGGTTTCACTCTGAAAAAGATGATGATGAGCTTGTAATGATTAATATGTGTAAGACGATTTCTAAAGAAGAACCATTTATCTTGGCATCTCAAGCACATCAAGTGTTTTATGTTGAAGATCTTAATAGAGATGGTTGGCATTATGCTGTTCAAATCCCTCCTAGAGAGCTTTCTGATGGTTTTTTCCCTAACAATTTATATTACATATATTGCATTGCTTTCCATATTATATTATATTATGTTATATTATATTATATTATATTATATTATATTATATTATATTATATTATATTATATTATATTATATTATATTATATTATATTATATTATATTATATTATATTATATTATATTGCATTGTTTTTCATATTATTATCTTTTATGGTTTGTAAACATGTTCTCATTGAATGGCTTTGCAGATGAAGGGGAGTAAAGCAAAAGCTTCTGATTCCCAAAGTCAGCTTCCAGACTATGAGTTACAAAGGCTCCAAAAATTGAAGTATAATGATGAAAGAATGTCAGCCCAAGGATCGGGATCCTTGGCGAATAAGATACTACAACAAAAAACACGCGACATACTTTGTTCGAGTGTGAGGCAGACAGAAAGATCCATATGATGGCTCCTCAGGAGACTCTGATATGGAACATGATACTCTTGGTATTGGAAAAAGACAAGTATGTGAAAAGGTATCTTAGGTAACTTGAATTTGTTGCTTTGTATATATATGTATTACTTATATATATTACTTGTTTGATTTATGCATTACTTGTTTCACTTTTGTTTTATAGGTCTCTTCTCAACAACATCCAGTTCCCACATGGGAAATTCAAAGGAAGCAGCAAGAACAGCAATTGGGGTCAACAAAGGCACATGTGAAGAAAAGAGCGTTCTGTTCTCCTGGCTCAATGTCAGCGTACCTCGAGTTTTGAAAATGACAAAAAGATGAAGCGCTGATGATGAGCAGTGAGATGCCTGAACAAGGGCAAAATTATGATGATGAGCAGTTAAATGAGACCGCTGATGCTCTTCAGGAAGATTGTGAGGGCAATGAAGCAGCGGACCGAGCAGTTGTAGCACAGTTTGGAATGGAAGGTATGTTTTGATCATGATATTCTTGTTATATACATACATACATATATGTACTTCATGTACAAGAACAAAGATAGGAGCTAACAAAGCAAAGAAGAGGATTTTGCTTCTCAAATTGGTGTAGCATGAGACTAATTAGCTTTCAGGTATTTAAAAAAAGAAAAGAAAAAAGAGTCTAATACAACGGTATCAAAAGAAAAAAAAGGGGGGCTAATACAATGGATTAAAAAAAATGGATCTAATCCAACGGATTCCTCAATCCGTTGGATTAGGTCCAACTATTCCCAAAAACAAAAAAAGGGAACCTAATCCAACGGATTGCTCAATTCGTTGAATTAGGTCACTTTTGTCGTTGTATTAGACCTAATCCAACCCCAGCAAATGTGACGGTTGCTAGCCGTTGTATTAGGTCTAATACAACAGATTTTGACACCTAATACAATGGAAAAAGCCGTTGTATTAACTCTTAAATGTAGTAGTGTTCCTAACGAATACGTAGGCAACCTCACATCGAGGTGCGGCCACATTCATATTCATATCCATGCATGATCGAGTCAAAGAATATCCAATGCTTATCCCTATCCATTTAGAGCTAGACTTGGGGGCTTGAACCCACATCACTTAGCCTACCCAACCTAAACAGTCACCATCTCGAATCTTTTCACATCTCTTTCCATCACCATAACCTTTTTAGCCTCACCTTAGTATCACTTTCACACACTTCATTCACATATTCAAGGCCATATCCTTCTTCCCTTAGAACCCCTTATCATGAAATCTTGTTCCCACACATGCATGTGTAGGGAATATTTCAAACATCAACTTTGAGCCCCACTATGATCATGCAGTTAAGCATGGTGGCGTCCAAAGGGAAGAAAGCTAGAGATAAAAGAGTCGCCAACAAGTTTTAAGAACTTGTAAATCGTTCACGGTTGTGAAGGTACACCCCATTCACGATCACGGAGATCGCTAACTCCATAGTTGTCCGGAACCATGACTGAATATTCGGGGATGTTGGTATGAATCCAACCTAAAGGAGATTGAACCCACCCTACATCAACCTCTACTTAATTCTTATGATATTCATGTGCGCTTTCCGATCAACATACATCCAACAAGTTAGCCCTAAGCCTGTTTTAATCTATGTTGGTTGATTATTAATGCACAATCTATTATTGGTGATCACTTGAATAAAATCATATTAAGCCTTAATCAAATTATTAATTATCTAATAAGGCGTGATTTCAAGTACAAATTCCTTTTAAACCTGCAAGAAAGGGCGTGATCAAACAATACCAATAATCATTAATAATCAAGCAACACAACAATCTCATAATAATCAAATCATCATAATATCATCAATAGTTCAATTTGCAAGATCCTAGGCATGATACTAAATAGATTAATAACAAATCCTAGCATGTCACTAACAATAAAGATCAAAGCTTTAGCTTAAACATGATACTAGAAATCATAAAAGCATCCTAACATGATACTAGGAATTAAAATAATATTTTAAGCATGATTTCTATATCAAAAGCGAGGAATAAGGATAGTAGATCGACTCACTTTGATGCCTCGTATCTCTTTCTATTAAAATAATACACATGTTAGTAACCTGAAGAAAGATTAACTCAAATAAATCAAACAAGAATTGAAATATAGATTTGGGACCAAACCCTTAAAACTATCAACCTTTCACGTCGAGGTTGAAGGCAACTACAAGATTAGCTTGAAGTATTCAAGGCTCGTGAAGGAGGTATGGTGTGTGATACCAAGAAGGTGTTAGGATGTGCTTAGGCTAGGCTAGAAAGAAAGAGAGAGAGAAAAGCTTTTAGCTTAGAGAGAGAATTAGATGATGATTGTTGGTGATCAAGCTTGTTGATGATTGAAAATGGGGTGAAACGACCTTTATTTATAGGGAAAAACGAGGGTCGAAAGATCTGAAAAGAGTCAGAAACCGACTTGGAGTAAAACGGGCGCTATCGCTCAGCGATATTTCTGTCGCTCAGAGACATATTTAGAAGATAGAATCCGTACGGAATTCGAATTCCAGTCAAATTGGGTTAATCGAATATCTGTACGTATTCTAATTTTATCATAATTAAAATCATTGAAAAACAAGTGTTTTATCCGATGTAAAATTCTTAAGTCTTTATCTTTTCAAAAATAGGATAAATTAGATCCTTTTAAAGGATTCCAGAAGCTAATAATAAATCCTAAGGTATTTAGGATTAAAAACAACCTTCTAGAGGATTCTAGACACTCATAATAATTCCTAATTGGTTTAGAAATTATGTTAAGGTTAATGGACCCTCCACATGGTCATTGGGTCGTAGGTAAGGCTCGGTTTGGACTTGGTTTAGTATTTTGGCCATAACTTCTTCGTTATAACTTGCATTTGGCCTTATAATATATAGTTAGAGAGCTATTTTCAAGCCCCATCCAACTGCACAATAATTGGACTAGGATTATGGACCAAAATATTCTGGTTTTAACGACACTACAAGAAAATGGCCGGATTCCGACGAACATCTTCCGACGGACATGATATTCCGTCGGAAATCCTGTATATTCCGAGGGATTTCCTACGGAATAAAAATCTGCTGGAATTTATGGGCTTTCCGACGAAATATTCCATCGGAATATTAGTTTTCCGGCGGAAATAAAATCCGTCGGAAATTTTCGACGGATTATTCCGTCGTAACAAAAAAAATTTGACGGAATTAAAATCTGTCGGAAATTTCATTATTCTGACGGAATATTCCGTCGGAATGTGATTTAATAAAAAAAAAATCAAACCCTAAAAAACCCAGATTCCCCCCTCCCCTTTTATTTCTCATTTCTCTCTCCTCTCCTCTTGTCTCCGCCTCTCTGCGCCTTCTCTGTCCTCTCTTCTCCTTCTTCTTTTCCGTTTCTCTTTCCTTTCTCCATCACCTTTCTCCTTCTTTTCTTTCCTTTCTCCTTCTTCTCATTTCTCTCTCCTCTCTTCTTCTAACTCCGCCTCATGTCTCCCTCCCTCACAGAAAATTCTCGCAAATTCTGGGAAGCAAAACCACTTTGAAGATTTTTGAAGAACTTGAAGAACTTTTTGAAGAACAAAATAGCATCCGGGGTTTCACTGGAATTTGAAGATCTTTTTTTGTAAATTTTTTGGTTTTTTTTTTTCAGATTTTGATTTTAGATTTGTATATGTTTTTTTTTTTGTTTTTTTTTCGGATTTTGTTCTTCAATTTGTAGGTTAGATCTGTTTTTTTTATTTGTATATATTCAATTTTTCTGTATATTAGATTTGTTCAATTCGACGAACTCAATTTTCCTCTCCTCTCATTTTTTTATGATTTATTTCGGTTTTTTTTTTTTAATTCTGGGTGGGGGTTCGATTTTCTGGGTTTTCAAGTTCCTGGGTTTTTGATTTCTGGGCTTGTGGGTTAGGGTGTGGGTGGGTGTGGGGGTGGTGGGGGTGGGGTGGCCTGGGTGGGCGTGGTGGTGGGCGTGGTTGGGGGTGGTCTGGGTAGGCGTGGTGGTGGGAGGGGGTGGTCTGGGTGGGTACTGTTTGGTTAGGGTTAGGTGGTGCTCTGGTCTGGATGCTGGGTGGGTCGTCTGGGTGGGTGGTCTGGGTGGGTGTGTTGAGTGGTCTGGGTGGGTGTGTCGGGTGAGGTGGTAGGTGGGTGGGTCTGCTTAGGTGGGTTAAGGTGGGGAGGTGGGTTAAGGTGGTACGGGAGCTGGTGGGGCTGGTGGTGGAGGGCTTTTTTTTTTATATTTTCCCTCGAAAAAAGTCGAATTTCATACAAAGGGTATTGTGACATACTGTTTCCGAGGGAATTCCGTCGGAAGGCCGTATTCCAACGGATTTTCCGATGTTTCTTTCGTCGGAATTAAGCTGTTTTCTTGTAGTGCGATTTTATAAAGGGGACACAAAATGAACAATTTTCAAAGACAATAAATGAATGATTTTGGCTTAAAACATTTTAGGAAAGGTTAGAAATGGTCAAGGATTAGGGGAAATTCACAAGACTATTAAACTCTTCACCTAACTCAATAATCAAAGGCGTGAAAGGTACTCATCACTGGGTTTGGTTTTTAGGAGACACAATTAAGTATCTACAGAAGCCCCACTTTGACTGAGTTTGGAAAAATGCAAGTTTCAAAGTGAAAAGTCAAAGTAGATCGATAGGGACAGAGAATGATTAAGAACGTTCTGCGATTCTAAATCATTCTTTTTAACGTCGATACCTGCAAAAAAGCGTTAGTTCTACAAATAAAGGAGTTAGAAACGCATATCTCACTACTACAAATCCCGACCTTTTGAGACGCTTTTTTCCATTATTTACGACGTGGAAAAACGTCGCTAATTTTTTTCTCGACGCTTTATAAAAGCGTCGAGAAAAAGTGAGTCGAGAAATTCGCGACGCTTTTACGTGTCACAAATCTCAACGCCATTTTATGTCCCAATATTTTAGACGCTTTTTAGTGTCTTAAATATCGACGCTTATTAATGTCTTACAAAATATACTAACCGTCGAGAATTTCGGTTTTCAAGCTCCACCGCCAAATTTCTAGACGCTTTTTCCGTCTACATTGTCGACGTTGTTTTCAGTCTCAAAATCAATTGAGATGCTTTTTAATGTCCACACAGAAATAGTGGCGGGAAATTTTGAAACTGTTTAAAGTAAAATATCTTGACAACAAAAAGCGTCTAAAATTTTTTTCTACTGTTTTTTTTATATATAAATATATATGTGGTAATTACCAGAAACTCAGAACATAATAAACAGCAGAGCATGATTAGCACGTTAATCATAAAACATACAATAAGTTTTTTCAAATATATATATATATATATATATAATGTCCAAAATATCATCATTATTATTACATATATCAACTGACAACTAAATTAAAAAGTTAGATTGAAGCCTATATAAGTTAAATACTAACTATATAAAAAAAGAAGGTGCATAGTAGGCTAATTTCCATCTTTAGTAAATTTTCCTTGTTCTCCTGTTGCATTCATAACCTTCAAATATATATATATATATATATATATATATATATATATATATATATATATATATATATATATATATATATAATAAGTATAATATAATATTTAATTGTTAAAAGAAAATACAGGAGTATAATATAAAACTTAATTGCTAAAAAAATTACAGCAGACATTGCATTTCCAGTATCAGCTCGTGGATGCAGATTAATGAGCACTCTTTTGGTTTGCAGAAGGGTAGGTGCTGAGGTAATTGATAGGTGTTAGGACCTTTTGCTGGGTCGTTGTAGTTTGGGTTGTAAGGGCACATATCTGCACAACAGCAATGCACAACAACAAACAGACCACCAACAATGCACATCAACAAACAGACCAACAGCAATGCACAGCAACAAACAGACCACCAGCAATGCACAACATCACTCAACAGCAACAGCCACAACCACCAGCTACTAAGTAATTTATATTTCTGATTTGTAGATTTCACAAGATACAAATGTTTCCAGCACATTTACAGAATCAAACAATACATTCTTGATTTAATTAATTTCTTAGAATATCTTACTATGAAGCACCGTATGGACCTCGGTTTCAGACTTTCGGGCAGAATAATAGGCTTGAACTGGAGCTTCCTGAGCACTACGTTTTAAACTTAGCAGAATTTAAGACCACCAATACCCAAATCTATAGTACACTAAGTTCAAACAAAGCAAGAAAAAAGAAGAGGATAGAGACACAGCAAAAAGACAAGTTATAATTAAAAACTAAATAGTCATCAACCATATTTATCTATTCATCAGGTAAAATAATATTCTAGCAAGTAATAAATTACACACAATGAAGATATAGATACAACTTTAAAACACTTAGAATCCACTCTTGATAAAATACAAAGAATCTAATCTAACAACATTCATGCAATTAACCATTTAGTGCTATAGCTTTACTTGTTAGTCTTGTTAATGAAAATCACTGATAGTCTGAGTCTCCTTACCTCACCAGTGAACTGCACGATAGTATATTTGTTGTCAATTCCAGATGTTCCTTCAAACACATGTCAGAAATATGAGTGAATTTCTTTTCATAAGACAAAACTGCTTAAAATTCTCCCATTTGTAGAAGCATTGTCTAATAGTTAGGATTAGTGACAACAGGTCAGAAAAAACTAGTGTCACAAAATGTAAAAGATAAACAAACAGTTTAAAATATAAACTTTAAGTACCTGAACTACAGCCTTCTCACCATCAACTTCCAAAACTTGACCTCTACGAGTTGATCCGTCTCCCAAACGAATATTCACGATTTCTTGAAATTTAGGTCCCTGTCGCAAATAGGCACACAATTCATAAGAAATGTAAATTTAACAGTAAAACAAAAGTAAAATTGTTCCATCACTTAGGTTATTTTTAGCACTGTTAGTAAATACTTTACCAAGGTTTCCCCTTCTATAGCTTTTATATGGAAGATTGTAAGGAATTAAAACCACCGGCCATGTACTGTGATTTTATCCTTCTTATGTTCAGTTAGAATATAATTATGTTGAATTTTAATTGTTTTGAAGTTGAATTTTGATTAGAATGAAGTTTATTCTATTCTTTGGATCTTGATTTATCAATTTTCTTAGTTTTGGTCAAATGCTGAGTAGTACTTTTTGGTGGTATTCTTATACAGTTATACCCAATTAAAAGTTACTTGTATTAGAGTATGATATATGTTTTAGTAGGCAATTTAAAAACTATAACCTTAAATTTCATTCGACTAATTATTTTAGTTTAGCAACTTGTAATATAGTACGAGTATATTAACATTATCATGTAACATATGGTAAATTATTTACTAAATTAATTTTCAAAGGTGGTTACAGGTTAAAGTTAAGACAAAATAAAAGAGCTTCTCCATTATAGGTAGCATTATTATTGATAGGAACTTGACAATGATTTGTGTACTTGTTGACTTTTCAAAAGCTATATGTGTGAAGCATATGTGTACTTGAAAGGTTGGAAATTTTGGTGCTTTGAGAAAAAAACTAAAATAAGCTGCATTTTCAGGAAATAGTATAGAATTAGTTGGTTAACAAAAATACAAAGAGCACTTTTAAATTAGATTCAGATTTTTAAATGAGGATTTCACTTTACTCATGGATTGGTGGATTCAATTCCAAAATTGTTTTATCTCTTTAATTTTGGCACTAAGTATTAAGATAACGATTAATACAAAGAATCACAAGACAACTATGTAGATAGGATATGAAAATAACATATGGTCATGAGTTAATAATTTGCGTACTCAAAGTTTTTTCTCCGTACGTAACAACTTGACATTGGTAGACAGAGATTTTTAGTGAAAATATATACTAGCTCTGATAATTTTTAGTTGTAACAATGGGGGATTATTTGTGAGATATAAAAAATTCATTTGTAGCAACTAAAAATTAACAGAGATAGTATAATTTGTAGGGATAATGTAAACAACTTCATTTTCCCCAAAAAAAATTCTTTTATTGTCCATATGTGAATTGTCCATTAAGAAAATACTCCGTACCACCTTAAGTAGTAGAGTAATGAAGATAATCAAGGTCTAGATTAAGTTTCTTTACAAAGTACGACAAAGATAAAAAAAAGGAAAGATAATAATAAAAAAGCAAAAGCCCTAGATTAGTTTTTAGAACAGATAAAAAGTGGCATAATTTAAGGTGTAGGTCCATGTTAAAATACAAGTTGCAGAAATAAAACGTGGTAGGTCATTGTTTGATTATCTTTTACCTAATTGAAAATTCTAATGTAGTATGAAGTAAATTTAATTGCATTGCTAGATTTCCAAGAAACAATTAAAATACCAAGAATAATACACTAGACCACTCAACACATTTGTATGTAAAATTCTGTATTAAAATGAACTCCAAATAAATAACAACAGAGTGAACAGCAGTGTGCAAAAATAATAGAAGACTCTCTTTGCAATCCAATCCAATATATAGCAACACCAGAGTTCTGTAAACTTACAGGACTCTATGCTTTTCTTTCCAAATGTTTCCAGCAAGCCTTTCGTATCAAGTGGTGTATACCTGATTAAACCCATGTATATAAACTTATAATACTTTATAAATTAGATAAGTAAAAGGAAGATAGCAAAATCTGTGACAAAAGGGAGAAAATACAGAAATAGTGAGGCAGGATGTAGAACAATATTGACGCTAAACCATAATTTTTCCAATATTCACTACTACAACCAGCAGCCTGGAGTAGAACCCACAAAAGGCAAGCAGAGGATAGCAGCAAGCATCAAAGAGAAAAGGCAACACGCAGAACACCAAGAACAACAAGTAGCAACACAAATCACAAGCTGAAGGCAGCAAACAGCAGGCAGAACACCAACAACATACAACAAGCAACAGCACAAACAACAAGCAGAGGATAGTAGCAAGCATCAAAGAGAAAAAGCAGCAGGCAGAACAACAAGCAGCAGCACAAACAACAAGCAATAGGCAGCACAAACCCCTTTATTTTCATTCTAAACTATAATTTCAAATATCTTTAATCTAATTTGCGGAAGTTGTTGTCGATGAAGGGTGATAAATCAATTAAGAGTTCAAAAATTAATAAAATGAGGAAAACATTGTCTGATATTAGCAGTATTCATTCTCAACACAAATCTCCTTTCAAGAATCAGGAATTATAAAAAAAAATTCAACCCAGAAACCCCAAATAAAATTAAAATTTCACAAAATTAATACAATAAATCAACAATTCAATAAACATAATCAAGCAAAACAAATACCAATCAATAATAGAAAGTATTATATAAAAAAAAGTATCTAATTAATTAGACCATGACCTGCGTGATATATATTCTTGAATTCTCTGCGTCGGTCGTTTCGAAATCCCATTAGCAAAAAGAATTTCCATAACGTGCAATGAATAAACAAAGATTCAGCATAAGCAACCTAATTTGAGTGAATGATATATCAACCAAAACCTACAAAATTGATGCGAGATTACGGAAAATTGATGACAAGAGCGAGGAGATTACCGAAAATTGAAGATAATACTGAAGAGAGGAACGCAAAATTCAACAATTTCAAGTGATTTAGGAGATCAGATGAGATCGATCGAAGCAAAGGAAAGTTAGCTAGGGTTTCGATAATGGCGAACTAAAGGGTTTTTTTTTTTTTATTTCTTCCGTCTAACTTTTATTTTGGTATACTGTATGTCTGTATATGGGCGGTTTTTTTTTTAATTTTTTTGATTTAGCTAGCCCGCTTTTTTTTTTCTAAAATTTTTAACTCCCGGGATGGGCTGTAGTCACGTGCATTAAGGTCTGTGTATTTTGACGCTTTTATTTGTCGAGATCCAATTATGGCACTTAAAAGCGTCGAAAAACCACGGAAATTAATTTTTTGGCTAACGCTTGTTACCTAGCGTCGAGCATAAAGCGTCTAGAATGGACGGGATTTGTAGTAGTGTCTTGCACCGTCGAGTACACGCATCTTGTCAGATCCAATTTATTTTGTTTGGCAACCTCCACAGTCTTAGTGAACGCCATCGAAGATCGCCACATCTCATGCCATCTCCTCAAATCCGGTGACAACCTCCACAATCATAGCGAAAGCTGTCAAAGATCGCCCATCTCGTGCCATCTTCTCAAATCAGGTGACAACCTCCACAATCTTAGCGAAAGCCGTTGAAGATTGCCCATCTCGTGCCATCTTCTCAAATCAGGTGACAACCTCCACAATCTTAGTGAAAGCCATCGAAGACCGCCCATCTCGTACAATCTTCTCAAATCAGGTGACAACCTCCATAATCTTAGCGAAAGCCATCGTAGACCGCTACATCACGAACCGTCTTCTCAAATCAGGTGATAACCTCCACAATCTTAGCGAAATCCATCGAAGACCGCTACATCACGAACCGTCTTCTCAAATCAGGTGATAACCTCCACAATCTTAGCGAAAGCCATCGAAAACCACTGCATCACGAACCGTCTTCTTAAATCTAATGACAACCCTCTCAATCTTAAAGAAAGTCGTCGAAGACTACCTCATCTCAAGTCGCCTCCTCAAATTAAATGACAACCCTCTCGATCTTAAAGAAAGCCATTGAAAGATCACACTACTTAGCGATCTTCAAATCTTTTCATCTTCACTCCTGGAAGTGGTACCCTCTCCAGCTTTAGAAAATTTACCGTAAAACCCCATCTCAAAGTTTTACCGAGTTTCAAATTGACTTCCGTAGAAACCTTCCAATCTTAGGAATTCCTTGTAATTATGCTTAATCACTATTTAATCAACGTACTCCACCAATGCTTAGGCGGACTCAACCAATGCTCAGGTGTACGTGCTCTTCCTATCTTAGGTTTTTTTTATCAAATGTGCTTGGCCAATGCTTATTCTTAGGCGTATTTAATCAATGAGGTGATCATTATCAGGGCGATCATCATTCAAAATCGTAACCGGGCCAATTACTTATCAAAGGAGTTCACTCAATGTGTAATCAAAACGTGATCGTCATCAGGCCGCTCATCAATCAAATATGATCGTCATTGGGCCGATCAAATCAATTAAATCAAGATCTTTGGTAAACTGCTCATCACGAGGCCTAAAGAAGAATCATTTGCTCATCACAAGGCTTCTAGAAAAATCAATTGTTCATCATGAGGCCCTAAGTGGATAATTATCGTCCAGCAAATCGATTTGTAGGAGCTCAAGTCCGACGTGCCACGCCAGGTTTCATCGCGCGGAGACAGTGCTGTCATGCCACATCAGTGTGTATCGTGTTACGTTGTTTCTGTTGTGCTGCGCTGGACTCATTCTGCACGTTCAATTTTGGTACTGTCGCTCATGCCTTTTGCTCACTTAGCTTGTACTCAATCAAATCGCCTCAAATCTAAAGGTTGCTCGTCCACCCGGGACTTAGTGTACCTGCATCTATATTTTGGACTATAGGACTTTACTTATGTTTATAGTTATCCTGAGGTTGACCCAAGACTTGGTTTTACTTGACTCATTGTGTGACTCAATGTGCTCAACTCGACTCGATGTGATGATGTGGTGAAATAACATAACTCAATGTGCATGACTCATGTGTGTAAACTCAACTCAATGTGGTGATACGACATGACTCAATGTGCATGACTCGAAAAAGCGAAAAATTTCTGTCATTTTTTGTGGAGGGTACTGACTTTCTCCCGAAAAAGAAAGACGTAAAAATGAATGAAGGTAGAGTGTAGGTGAAAAATGAAGTTTTTAAACTTCCTTGAAAGGAAAGAAGATGAAAAGAATGAATCAAGTAATGGTGCATGTTGAATGAGCTTAATCAAGTGTATGCATTGATGTTGCATCTCATGATGCAAGGATTGTAGCATCCTAGGCTATCTTAGTTGATGACTCGATAATGAAAGTATTTGGGTAACTTAGGCGCGAAGGCTAAGTACTTCATACTTTGTTATCCAATGATGATTAGGATAATGAGTGATTCTAAGATGACAAGACATTCTTCAAAGTTGTATCAAGATTTCATGACAAAGGGTTCCTAAGGGAAGGATTATTGGGCTATGTATGTGTGATGTGTGTGAAAGTGACACTAAAGTTAGGATGCAAGGCTAAGGTGTGGAAAAATATTTGAGAAGATTTAAATGATGGTGACTCTTAGGCTGGGTAGGCTAATGAAGTAGGGTTCAAGCCCTTAAGTCTAGCTCTAAATGGATAAGGATGAGCATTGGAGATCCCTTGATATGATCATGCATGAATGTGATGAATGCATTTTTATTACGGCCGCACCCCAATGTGAGGTTGCCTACGTATCCGTTAGGAATCAGGCCGAACGTAGCTTTAGCCGAACCTCGCACAAGTGTGTGTATACCTCAAAAGGTCTTTCAAGGGTTGTAACAAGGTTAGGCTAAAGGTTGAAGAAGAAAGGATAAAGGTTTAAGACCCAAAATAAGTCTCCAAGGTGTGCAACCTTGCGTTTGAATCTTGGTATTTGTATGCTTGAAGTTTTCTCACTTCTGAACTCCTTTTTTTTTCTCTTGATTGATTTTTATTTGAATTTTTTTTGGATAAGTGTGGGAAATCTTGATCATTCGGTCTATCACTCACTTGGCATTCATGTTTCTCAGGCACGGTACCGAGCACTCGATAAGAGACGCAATCCGAGACGTGTTCATATCAAAGACATCGAAACACTTGCTCTTTTGCACACTTTTATTATTATTTGCTTTTTTAAACTTTTGAGATTTCTCAAGATTTTGTATATGGCTTTGAAAATTGCATAATTTGCACACCATCTCGTCCCAAGGTTAGGTAGACATGGGTTGAAAAAATGAAAGGTCTATCGTTAGATGAGGCTCAAAGTGGTTTATCGAGAAAGGGATTATAATTCATAGGGTGAGGGTGATATGATGTGGCTACAAGGGGTGCCTTAAATCATTGGTATACCTTGTGCTTAGCTCGACGTGGTTTTAATTTTTTTTTTAAGTAAAATGCAATGCAATGATCATATGCAAAGAAATAATTGCTCATGTTATTGAAATGGAAAAAGCAAAAAAAAAAAAAAAAAAAATTAAACTCATGAAATAAATCTAAGGAAGATGAAGGGTTCCTATGCTAGACTTATTAAGGGAAAGGGGAAAACAAAAAAATGAAAGAATCATGAAATCTTGTTATTAGAGCCCGCCTTGTGCTTTGTGCTTATCATCACTTGGTCTTCTTGCCGGTTGGAAGGAATGGAAGCTTTTTTGCATCGATGAGATCTTTAATGAGGTTTTAGAAACTATAACATTCATCTGTGGTATGACCATTGCCTAGATGATACTTGCAATAGGAATTGGGATTCCACCTTAAAGATCGCTTTTCCAGTGTTGGATTCTCAGTGGGACCAATAGGTTTGATTAAACCTTGATCATAGAGACGATTGAAAGCAACATCATAGGACATTCCTATAGGTGTCAATTCCCTTTTGGGTTTCTTGGCTTTTAAATCGTTTTATCAAGGGCCCAGATTTCATCGGCATCGATGTTGTTAATGTAGTTGCTATGGGAAGAAGCGGAAGAAGGATTGTTGATCTTCCTGCCCTTTCCATTGTTGCCATTATGACTAGCCTTCAAGAGGTCATCTTCGATGTTAATGCCTATGTCATAGACAGCTTTGAAGGTGCTTAAAGGTTGATATTTTAAATGTTTTTGATACTTCTCTTTGAGGTTCTTAATGAACATCCTTACAGATTCCTTCTCACTTGGAACTTCGATCAGCCTAGCGGAAGTTTCCTTCCATCTATTGTAGAATGCGGTGAAACCTTCATTCTCTTTTTGTTTAAGCAGTTCAAGTTCCTTATGATCGGTTTCTACTTAAATATTACATTTGTATCTATCTATGAAAGCATGTGTAATAGCATCCCAAGTAGCCATTTTCTCAGAGTCCATAGAAAAGAACCATTGTTGACATACCGATTCCAAGGAAAGAGAGAAAAGTGAAGGAAAAGCTTTCTTATCAATCCCCTTGATTCCCATGATTGTCTCAAAAGCTCTCAAATGAAAGTAAGAATTGTCAGTAGCCTTGAACTTAGGGATGTCATTGGCAGAGAACTTGTGCAGAAGAAGTTCCTTTTCCACTGAGACCCCCTTAGAACTTATCCCAAAGTATTTGTAGTCATTGGAAATTTGACTCAAGTTGTCTTCCATACTCTTGATGGTTTCAATGGGTACTTGCTTGTTAGGGTCTTCGACTTGAGTGGTGAGTCCCTTGAGTATCTTGGCAAGTCCATACACGGTTTCTTGAAGTTTCTCGAATTCTTCTTGACTGGCCATTATTACGAACTTTGTTCTTTGTCGAATCGGTCTATCGAAGAGGAGTACTTGTATGAAGGTGTTGTCCTTGATTAAACGCTCTTCTCTCTTTGACCAAACGTTGTGGAAAGGGAAACCATGGACACTCGTTGTCAACCACGTGACTCGAACTCGATTCAACATGCATAGGTGTATGAGGTGAATGATATGTATGGGGAATGCAAGTAAGATGAGAGAATGTGGAAAGTGTTATAAGAAGGAAATTCGAGAATAGAATGAACCCTCAACTCAAATGACAGAAATGACGACTCATGCATGGACCTAAGACATGGTCATGGTGTAAAAAAAGTATTTACAAGGTGTGTGTTAAGACTTGTGAGAGAAATTGATATGCTCAAGATTCGTGTAATGACCATGTGACTAAACATGAGAACGATGTGAAAAAACGAAGGACTCAAGGACCAAATAGCCGAAGAACTAAAAGATAGACAAACTAAATTGATTAATTTTGTCCAATTTTAATGTTTGTGCTATTTACTAGGTGAAATCAGTCCATTGGCAAACGTTAGTCATAAATAAGATTAAACCACAGTCAAAGACAAAAAAAACACATGTTAAAGTTAAGACTCATGGGATTAAATAAATTAAAATAAAAATCTACAATCCTATTTTATACAAGCTG